TGCCTGCCCCCGTGGCTTCGCACTGCCGCCCTGGATGGCAGCTCCGTGAGCCCGGTGGTGCCCGCGGTGTGGGCTGTGTGTGACGGTGCGCCCTCCCCCTGCCAGCCTGGCCTGTCTCCCGATAGAGCCCTGCCCAAGCGATGACCCCCCGTGGTGGTCACAACGGGTGCGCCTGGTTGTGGCTGCACCCAGCTCAACATGGTTTGGGGGGACGGATAACACCCCAACAGCCAAGAGCCCACCCAACCCCAACTCTGGCACTGTGGTTGAGATGCAAACGTGACTATAGGTCAACCATCTCACCCTCGTACATAGTGAACAGCCCAAGAGCCCGTTGCGCTCTCCCACGTGGCAGTGGTGGCACGGCAGGATGTCCCCTTGGGCAGGGATGCCTCATGCGATTCAGAGATTCCCTGACACAGCAGGTCCTCGGTACGGACTAACACCACACTGACCTTTGAAGCTTCACTAAGATTATGTCTTAGAGTGATTGTGCACATATAATCCTTCAGACATAAACCTCTGGTCAAGTCTGGGACCAGGAGTGGGTCCAGCTGCAGCCCAACTCCTCTCCGAGAGGGCGGTCGGAACGCCAGGGGTCCTCTCTGAACCTCTGCTCAACGGGAGGGTCTCCCCGGCAGCTCTGTCTGACCCCGTCCTCCATGCGGGAAATAACCAAGTGCGCCTTCCCGTCCCGAATCTTGTTAAACCGCCGCCGCATTTGCTATCAAAATCACTGTTTTATATCAGTAAATACATTTCTGCTTCTCTCTTAGGCGTGAAGTGCATCGCTCCAGCCGTCACGCTGCGGCAGGCGGTGCCGTGTCTGAAGACGTGCAGGCTGTCACCCCTCACCCGCGGGGGCCAGCAGGTTCCAGTCCTCGCTGGTGCTGCGTAAGGGATCCCACCACCCATGGGAGGCATCAGGGGCGGCAGCGGGGGGACGGGGGCCTTGATGCCTTCTCGTCTTTTTTAATTCCTGCACATCAGCATCTACCCGCGAATGCAAATATCCCTCCATCCCATTCCAAGGTGGAAACGGACAGTCGCTGGCAGGAGGCGGCTGTCAGCGCACCGTGAGACACCAGCAGGGACGGAGAGCAGAACAGAGCGCGCTGCGGTTGCGAACAGTCGTGTCTTTTATTATTCACGCTGCCCCGGCCAGTGTCACTGGGCCGCCGCGCTGCCAGCTCATTACCGGCCCGGCTGACGGCATGGCCCACGTGTGTGTCGGCAGCTAGAGAAGCCCCAGCCGGTTCAAGACATTCTATTGTTTGAATACAGTTACAAAAGAAAATAAGAGGATAAACTTTAAATCAAATGGTATTATATTTAGCAAACTGATTATTTATTTTCCTGCGCTATGGATGCCTCTGCCTGCTGTCAAAGCGAAGATGTTAAATTTTCACTGTGTATTATGAAATCATATACAAAACCAAAAAAAAGCAGTGACCTCATGTTGTGTGAAGAGACATGTCTTGGGGGAAACAAAAAAAGGAAAACAAGAACCAGAGCGAACGCTCGGCTCGTTAAGCAATTCTCCACCTCAGTTTATAAGTGCATCATGGATTCAAATTCATCGATTCGTTGTTTGGTGTTTCCTTTTCTAATCCTCCGGTAGGAAATTGTGTTGTATCTGGAATAGCTGTGTCTGGAGATATCATTTTTCTTCCCCAGGCTGGGCTGCTCCCCGGGTTTCTCCGCCGGGGCGTTGCAGCCGGGGCTGGTGGGGGGGGACGCCTCCTTGCCGCTGCCGTGCTGCTCCAGGCGGGACGCCTCGCCGTTCTCCTTCTTGATTTCGATCACCTGAACTTCATCCTCTTCGGTGTCCTCCTCCTCCTCCTCTGCATCCTCCTCCTCGGCTGCATTCCCGCTCCCGTCGGCGCTGGCTGCCCGGGGACCCCCCCCTCCCCCGCGGGGCCTGGCCGCCGTCCCGGGCTCTGGCTGCCCGCTGCCCGCAGGCGTCCCCTCGCTGCCCGGCCCTGCGGCGACACAGAGGGAGAGCGGGTGAGGAGGGGCTCGGCACCACCTTCATACCCCGTGCGTCCCGCTGCAGCATCGCTCTCGGTGCCCCACCAGCTCCTGCCACCGAAGCACCCGTCCTCCCCACCGCTCCAGGCTGAGCCCCTGTCACCACGGGTGATCGCGTGTGCTTTAGAAAGGCTTCGCACAGCCTGACTCACTCCTTCAGGCCACCTGCTCCGGCATTTTCTAATGCTCGCCTCTTTTGTACCGCCTTCCCCACACTGCCCTGCTGTAGAAGGCGATGGAGCTGCCGGGGGTCGAGGAGGGGAGAGCAGCACGGTGTCCCCCTGCACCCCAGGACCGGAGGTGCTGTGCCCCCCGCACGCACCAGCGCTGCGCCTGCACTCTCCGACCCGGCCTGGCACACCCCACCGCAGGCCCCGCTGCCGTGCCCTTCCAAACGCGTTCCCGACGCGCTCTGCCTCTCGCTGTGGGTGGGTGCTGCACTCCATGGGCCAAACTCCCCGGTCTGGTCCTGTCTCCCCGCGGCTCGGGGCTCAGTGCTGGTGCCGGCTCTGCCCGCCGTGCGGGGTGGGAGGGATGGAGGAAGGGATGGAGGGAGAGATGGAGGTAGGAATGGAAGGATGGAGAGAGGGACGGAGGGATGGAGAGAGGGACAGAGGGATGGAGAGAGGGACGGAGGGATGGAGAGAGGGATGGAGGCAGCTCGGGGCTCAGTGCCAGTGCCAGCTCTGCCTGCCGTGTGGGGTGGGGTGGGAGGGACAGAGGGATCGAGGTAGGGATGGAGGGATGGAGGGATGAAGGGAGAGAGGAAGGGATAGAGGGAGGGAGCCGTCCTGCAGGCAGCACCCAGCTGCACCCACCACACAGCGGGCAGAGCCCCCCTGGGACACATCCTCCCCTTCGGAGGTGGCGGCCCAGGCTGAGATGGATATCTCCTATTTGTCCCGTTTGGCACAGCTCTGCCTTAAATTATGCTTGAGTGTCACAACAAATGGTCTATTCAACATTTTGCCTGTGGGGTCCCAAGTATTAATTAGACTAAATTGGTTAGGTCCTAAAAAGCTGCCTGCAATTTAGAGATAAAGTGCTTGTGGCTGGGGGGGAGGGGGCAGTGCGGAGGGGGGTGACTGTGCAAGATCGTTTAATAGGTTTTATTGTGCACTCATAAAGCAACACGGCTGGAAGATGGATGTCCGCTCCAAGTGGGAAAGCCTCCATCGTGATTCACCTCCTCACAACCTGTGCAGTTGCTATGAAATATTATTTTGCCCGTGACAAATGTTTATATACTTTTTTTTTTATTTATCAAAGCACCGTTTCTGCTCACGGGGCATGGCCCATACGTCTTTTAGAGCTGTGTTCAATGGCGCTAGCTTTGCCAGGACTGCGGCAGCGACCCGGGGCTGGTAACCCGCTCTTCTCCCAGGAGGG